GGAATACAAGCCAGAGTGAAGGGTTCATGTCTCACAGGTGAGATCACCCACTGAACGATCCTCATCACTGCACGCATGCGATGCCTGCCTTGCGAATCACATGCAGATGGGCTCGGCTTGTCAGAGCAAAAAACAAATGCATCAGCACAGCAATGCACGCAGCGCAGAATTACAGTGGCCCATCCAGTTGACCTACTCTGATTGGTTATCTAAGTTTCAGAGAAACCCGTCCAGAGAAATAAGCAGAAGGGTGAGCTTCACAGTGCGACGATACATACATGTGAGAGTGAGAGATTGTAAGGCGGGGTCGAAAGAGAGCGTGCGAGGCGGCGGGAGTGGGAAGATGTCACAGTCACTCATTCTATCAAGGAGCGGTGAGGTGAGTGAGTGGGGAGGAAGGTGTCACGATCACTCACTCCATCAACGAGTAGTGAGTGAGTGGGGAGGTGTTGGTGTCACCGCCACTCACTCTATCAAGGTCCGTGTGTCACAATTACTCACTCTATCAAGGTCCGTGTGAATGAGTGCCACATAGTCGTTGCAGCTCACACAGTTGCCCAGCGCTGACCTTAGTTCGGAAAGACGCAGCTAGGACGCTGCGTCCTGCGTCCGGACGCAGCGTCCGGACGCTAGGACGCAGGACGCGCGTCCAGACGCAGGACGCACGTCGAAAATTTTTTCGGGCAGCCCGAAAAAAAAAAAAATCGATCGCGATTTTGGCATTCGCGATTTCGACGCGAATGTCGAAATCGCGAAATTTCCCCACCCCAAGCCCAATTCGCCATTCAAAACCAGCCCCCCTAACATTCCCTAACAACTAAACCAAAATTGAATTTCACTCAAACCTCTCAACCACTTAGCATCTACGAATCCCAACCTTTGTAGCCCACCACCACCAAGCACATTTAGCATGGCAACCTTTTGTGGCTTCTCATTTTCCCCTCACCAATTCTCTTTCGTAAACCCATAGAGGTTTTAGGTCTTAGCTTAGCTTACCACCTAAACTCCGCTATGGCTTCCTCGAGCATTCCTTCTGTGAAATGTGTGACACGTGACTCACCTTAATCTCAAATTTTGGGGGAAAATTTTGTGGTATGACACCCCCCCCCCCCCCCCTCTCCCAAGCCCTATACTATTTTTTTTGGCCTGCCCGGGGATTTTTTTTGCCCTGCCCGGGCTTGCGTCTTTTGGTGCGTCTTACAGGTCAAGGGTCAGCGTCCTGCGTCTGGACGCATGCGTCTGGACGCATGCGTCCAGGACGCAGGACGCGTCTTTCTGAACTAAGGCGCTGACAGCCGCTCGTCCACGCGCTGCACCACCACCGACTCGGGCAAGGAGTTGCGCATGTGCAGCAGCTCTGATGGGGGAATGGGGAAGGGGTGGGGAGGGTAGGGGTTCTGGGTTTTGAGTCGACTCAAAGCTCACACAGTCAAGGGGAATTGCGCAGGTGCAGCAGCCCAACGAGGGAACAGAAAAAAGAGTGGGGAGGGGCGGGGGGGAGAGGAAGGTGACGCATGTGCAGCAGCCCGGAAGGGGGAAGGAGGGGTGGGGGGTGGGGGAGAGAGGGAGGAAGGTGACGCATGTGCAGCAGCACTAAAGGTGCGTGTGCGGGGTAGAGACGCGGAGGGGAAGGAAGGGCGGGGGGGTTTTGCTGGGAGAAAAAATCACGAATGGAGGCGAGGGGACGAAAGGGGCGGAGGAAGGAGGTGAGGAGCAAATTAGTCCGTGGCGCGCAGGCAGGAGGGAGAGGGAGAGGGAGAGGGAAGCCGCGAGATAGAGCGTGCAAAATGAGTTTAGATAAAAGGGCGGAGGAAACGGGGTGAGTGGGGGGCGGGAGAGAGGAACAATTGGGCACGGCGGTGGGAGACGGAGGGGAAAGGGCATTTGGGTGGAAAAAGCAAGGGCACGCTTGGCCTCCCATCGCGTCCCCGCGCTCTCTCACCTTGATCTGTCGTCGAGTTGGGTAGCAGTAGCCCGTTCTTGTTGCCTGCACGCAACGCAACCATCCAAAATGACAGACAGTCAGCACATAACGCACACAACCCCCGAGGGCGCGCACGGGACCCTTAAAGCCCGCCCAGAGCCAGTCTAACTCCATCTTAAAGTGCAAAACATCTAAGGGCGCGCACGCGACCCTTAAAGCCCGAAACCCGAAGTCCCGCACAAAGCCCACATGCTGCACTTGCTGCGCGTAAACCTCGCTCACCGCTCATAGACCCGATTCGTGCACATAAACCCGATTCGCGCACATAAACCCAATTCGCGCGCAAAGATCCATCCGCGGGCAAAACCCGTTCCCGCACCGGCGGCGCTAACTCCACTCACCCGTGCACATGCGCACTCACCCACATACATGCGGCCTAGACCACTCCCGCGCACAAGCGACCACTGAACCACTCACCCGCGCACATGCGGCCAATGATGCGCGTGCCGGCGATGGAGGCTTTAACGACGGGGATGTCGGGCAGCTCCGCCTCGAACACGCTGAAGAAATTCTCCGACGCGCCGACCGCCGTGAGGCAGTACGCGTTAGTGAGCTTCGAGAACACGCCCACCTCGCTGCTGTTCTCGAACTGCGCTCCTGGCCGCGCCGCGCGTTCCAGACGGGGGGATACGCCGACAGAGGGACGCGGGGACGGAGAGGAACAGGGAACGAGTCAGTCGTTAATCAGGGAAACAGCCGAGGGGAATAGCCGGGGCCAACATGTCACTTACGAGATGACTTTGAGTCGACTCAAAAGTCATCAGACGAGGGGAATAGCCTGGGCCAGCATGACACTTACTGACTGCCATAGTTGCCAAAGATGCGCGCGATGTGACGATGTTATAAGAGCTTCGCCGCTGCACCGACTCTGATGCGTGAAGTACGACAAGAATGACACCTACGAGCGGTTACAGAGGAGAGAGATTAGCTGCGAAAGATCTCAGGACTATCAGACGAGCCAGTAGGGAGAGTGAGAGGGCGTGTAATTGGGAGACTTTATGTGGTAAAGCCGAGGGGGAGACAACCAAAAACGTATTACCCTAAACCCGAAACGTTATCCACAGGCAGGATTTTTCTTTCCTCGCGAGGTCGTATTCAGCGGATGTAAAGAAAGCCAGTTTCAAAATCCAGTAATATAGGGACGGGTGACGTCAGCACATGCCACCCCACGGGTCCTGGCACAAAGGGATTTCGGGGCAAATCCGAAAACCCTCCGAATCCCTCGGATCACCCCGAAACAGGCGAAAAACCCCTCCGAAAAACCCTCCGAATCCCTCCGTCTCAATGTCGTATTCTTATGCGCAGAACGCCGTACTGTTGCAATTTCGGGGACATTGATCGAGCACTGCTCGACGGGCATTGGCCAATCGCCGTCGAGCGCCGTGCACCCCCGACAAGACGGGTTACAGCAGCCATCGACGTCGCCCGACAGGCCGCGCTGTCGGTCGACGTGAGTGGTAACGGGTTTTGCAACCGGCCGACGGTCACAATCGACGGCGCCTTCAACTGCGGTCGACCGACCGCTTCGACGGTCGAGCGAGACGTCGCTGTCGGACGGGCGACGGGTTAGGTAAGTCGCCATCAAAGGGGTCATGTCAACAGATGACGGCCACGTCAAAGGCCAAGGCGCCTTGAGGACACCTGTAAGGGAAGGGTTATCAGCCCAACAACGGTCTCAATGAAATCCTGAACTGGGAGCAGCAGTAACATCGTTTTTATGAGTTAGGCCAGCGCTACGGCAACGAGAGCTTTCGGGTAGGCACTGATGGAGAACGATCCGTCGAGAACAACGCCTTTCCGGCAGGCAGCGGTAGGACCGCTACCCGTCGACGTTGAAACCATCTCGACGCAATCCGCTAGGACGTCACAAGCCATACCGTGCCCTGTCGACGTTGAAACCATCTCGACGCAACCCCCTAGGACGACACAAGCTATACCGAGCTCGACACCACCACCCTCGATGTCACGAGCCATACCGGGCTCGACAGCTCCACAATCGACGTCACGAGCCATACCGGTAGTGGGTCAGGCGGTTGCGTCGGATCAGCGTTCGACGGAGCGTGCCGTCAATGTCGAAGTGGGGGGGCACCTGACCGAAGTCCCTTCGACGGCACAATCTATACCTGTAATGGTAGAACCGCGTTTGACAACATCCCCTCCCTCGACACCGGAAGCGACTAACCAGCCGTCATCATCTTCGGCACCACAACGTTCGGCAACACCAACGGAACCAGTAGCCGCTGTCCCGAGCTCGACTGGTGGGCGACGTAGGAGAAGGGGTACGGGTGTTCCGGCTGAGGTTTTGCCACCACCCCCAGTCGGTACATCCGCTTCGCGAGCCACTCCCGCCGCGCCTATGCGCTCATCGAAAAGACCCAGCAAAGCGGACTTAGCCAGCCACGTCCCTGCAGAGACGAATGATGACGACGATGAACAGGGAGAACAGTCCGAGGCGGACGATGTCGAAGAGATGGACCCTTTGCGCCCTGCCGCGGCAAATATATCAGAAGAGGAGGCAGCCCACATTCTCGGTGACGAACAGGGCGAAGAAAATCCGTACCTGGCGATTCACCGTTGTCAGCTTCCGCTGCTGGCAATCGACCAGGATTCCACTCGGCCAAACTACGTCTCGGGTTTCATGCATTTCAAGGCTTGGGCTTGTGCAACCCTGGCGCCCGGAAAAAACAGCGGAGTGCCGGTCGAGGAGCAGGTGATCAACGAGGACGAGGTCGGGAGAGAGATCGGCAAGGATTTAGGGAAGGGGTGGAGGGCGGCGCTCCTTAACGAGGAGCACATGCATGGGCCTTGGACGTCGAAATGGCGGTTGCGGGCTTACGTCGAGTACATGTCGACGGAAACCGACGAACAGGCGGCTTCCTTGGATACCGGGCGGACCAGAGTAGCGGGACGGAAGCCGAAGAAATGCACCCCACTGATGATGCTGGCGCGCCTAACTGCGCTAGGGTGCTTGTGCAAAGTAGAGGCCATACTCTTCGGCGAACCACTCACAAAACCCATGGACGACATCACCGAGGCTAGGCAGCTATTAGCGGTCAAGCTGCGACAGCTGCACGACTATCAGTTCGAGTAAGTTCGCTTCCCTACCCCGTCGGTCGAGAACTTCTCACTCACTTTCTAACGTATTAGAAACTGTATCTGCCCACTCTATGCAGGAGCTGCGTCGACCCACACCGTGGCTCGCTCGACGATGTCTACACGGAGGAGCAGTTCCGCATTCTTGTTTCAGACATCCTGCCGCACTGGGCCAAGGTGTACTTCGGGTTGTCGATGGCGTACCCCAGTCTGACGCTGTGGAAGGCCTTGGCTGTGAGGGTGATGATTCTGATGGCGCATCACATGCTGGGCAGGGGGATCAGCATCCGTACGATCCGCTACTGCAACATGTTCACTCACGTCCTTCTGCCCATCACGAACAGCCCGGGGGAATCGTCGATCATCGTTCTCGTGGTCGCCTATCGCAATTCGAAGACCGTCAAAGACAACAAGCTCGGCCACTTGTACCTGACTCGACACATGGACTTCCAGCAGTGCGGCTTTGGAGCAGTTTTCCTCTGGCTACACTTCCTTTTCGACCTCGTGCCGCTCTACTACAACAACGAGAATATCGTGCCCCCCTTGGATTTTTCAAACCCGGAGGCCTGGTCGAAGAAATACGTGTTCTTCGCCCTCTTCGACAAAGAGAAGACAGAGATGCCGTACCCGACGCACAACAAATGGGTGACATGGGCGATGAATAGCGCGGTGTGGATCCTGTCGAAAGTCACGCACATATTTCGACGGTCTGCGGCACAGATCCTCGCGGACAAGAACTTAGACCTCGATTCCATCGCACAGCTGGGTCAATGGGACATGAACGAGATGCGCAGGTCATACGTCACAGGCATCCCGCACCCGGCCATCCAGATGCAAGCGGATTTCTCGCAGGAACCGGGCGACTATTACATCGGAAGATCGAAGACTAAAGTGCCCCCGAAGGTCGTGAAGGCTATCGAGGAGCACATCTTTCCTAAGGCGGAGCTTTGGCTCATCGAGGTATGTATCCGTCGAGCTTTTGGCGTCTTCGTCGAACGCAAGTTTTGCTCGCCCATCCATCTCTCGATGTCAACCCATTCGTTTTTGTTCAGGCCCAGGAGTGGAACAACGAGCAGGACAAGGAACATATGTACTACGCAACGAAAGGTTTCTTGGAGGCCCTGGTAGCCGCCCGAATGCCCATCGCAGAGGATCTTGCGATGTACTACGTCCATTGTGAGGACCACCCCTTCGACAGGGTCAGCGTTTGTGACTGCGAGCGTCACCCTTACGTCCAGATGTCGGGTTTGTGCAAGGACGAAGATTTCCAAAAATGGGCGCTCGACGTGTACACGCTCGACAAGTACGGCATCGAGATGCGGACCAACACCACGATGTCGAGAGCGACGGTAAGATGGTCCTTCCAAAACTATAAGCGACGACTTTGCATCAGCCCACTGACTCCACGTGTTCTTGCGTGCAGGACGTATCCTCTCACCTCAACACCAAGCATCTCGTCACGCAACTTCGGGCCGAGATAAACCTCCACAAGGAGGAGGGAGGGAAAAGGGAAATCCAGATCAACCACCTCGAGAAGCAGGTCGAGTCATTGGAGCGGGAGAAAAGCTCGATGAAAGCTGAGTTGGAGGCGAAGACAGATGCGTTCGCGCAACTACAGAAAGCGTTCGACGCATTGAATAATACCGCGGCGACAAGCGCAGCTGCAAATGTGGGGGAGAGCGAGAGCGTGCCGCAGACGGCAACCGAGGAAGCCATCCCGGATCCACAGCAAGCCCAACAAGCAACGCCCTCTCGACAGAGCGTGGGCAGCCAGCTCGACCAGACGTTCTTCGACGCGGTGGTGTGGCCGTGGTGCAATTGCGAGACCGTGCGGAAGGCGTGGTCGTACTGGGACGGGGCAAATCCACTGAACAACGGGCATAGTCTTCGACAGGCTTACAAGAGGGGCTTTGCCGTCAAGTTCTGCAAGTTCACACCGACTCCACCCCCCGTAACCCCCGAAAAGGAGGCCCAGCCAAAAGAAAATCCACCAACCGCAAAAGCTATCGAGACGAAAATGCGGAAAATGGAGGCTGTCATGAAGGCCGTCGAGCATTTCCGGATCGACGACAGCAGCGCGGCTACGTCGACGGTCATCGAAAAGCTGGACTCAATTGTGAAGGGCCACTCGATCAACATGCTTTCAGAGGGCATCGTTCTCAAGGAGGATTCTGGGAGGCAGCTCACGAAAAAGCGCAAAGTCGAGTCTGCAGAGGAAAACCGGAAGGACAAACAACGCCTCAGAATCACTCTGGAGCTCATTCGCGTCGAGCTCCGAACCGCAGAATGGGCGGAGAAGGTGTTCGGCAAGGAGAAATGGAAAGAATTCACGGTAAGTACTGGCGCGCGGCCTAGTTCGAGGCGGCCTAGTTCGACGAGCAACCGTGACGAGGGGGGACCCTAGTGTAGGTTGTTCTTTCAGGGTTTGCATGGCATCTTTCCCTAATGCATGTTGTGACACCATCTCGACAAGATGAACCAATAGAGCATTCTCGAAAACATAAAGTCAAAGAACATCTGTAGATCAACCTATCGAAACAACAAACACATATGTCGAATGATGCAAAAACCCCCACGCAATGCGCCCACCTATACTACTCCCCTTGCCCGCCTGTTTCCGCCTCTGTTGCCTCCTCGTCGCCCAGCTTCGCCAATCTCTTTTCTTCTGGCATAGCCAGGCTCCCATAGCCCGCGTCCTCCAGCAAACGGGCAGCAAATCGACAGCAGCACCATTGAGTACAGACTTGTGCTGCCACGCGCACCATCTGCAACAGGGTGGCGTCAGACGAGCCGAGGCCTTCGACAGCCGACGAATATAGCAGATCAGGCCACTGCTTGGCCGGGAACGTCTTGCCGACGTGCAAAAGTACGGACAGCAGCGCAGCCATGGCAGCCGCACTAGCCCGTGTCGCCATCTCCGGGGCGTAGAGCGCTGCGTTTGCGGCAGCTAGGGCATCCTTCTTAATGTCTTCCCTCGACAACTTTCTGCAGGCCGCCCACAAGCTTGCCATAGTTGCTGCGACGGCCATCATGTGCGCAGTCCCGTGCATGTTCTTCGGGACCGGATAAATCACGTTCCCGTGCCTCCGGCCAAGCGTCGCAACCTTCCCAATCGCCGCGCACAGCGCAATTCCCCAGTCGGTTCCGGCTCTCACTTCCGTATTTGTCGTCGCCAGCAACGACCGGAAACTGCAAATCGAAACAACTGCGTTAGTCAGACGGCACGACTTCGACAGGAAATCTGACAGCTCTTCGACGGAAAGAACAAAACCGCTACGACAGTCAAACTACAGGACTTCGACAGAACTCACTCGTCGAAACGACATTCCCCTTGTTCTTGCGCCACGCTCCAAACGCCGGTGGGCATATGCGCTGCTGCATCGAGATAGACCTTCCAGTCCTTCTCATCCTGCGCCGTGAACCCCTCGTACTCCTTGAGGTCTATGTCGGGGAAGTACACGCGCCAGCAGATGGCCGTACAAAACTTCTGGTCCGCCTCCGTTTCAAAAGTGCCCAGGAACCGCTTCCTCGAGCCTACGGTCTGCACGGAAACCGGCTTCCCCTTGCGCGACATCATGCCCGGTCCTTTGAAGGGAGCTTTGCAGCCTCTCGTCTTGCCTTGGTCGTCCGGCGGAGGAGGTGGGGCGTAGCCGATCACCTTGGGCTTCTTCGACTTTTCGTGTCGAGCAGCAACGACGGTAGACGCCAACTCGACGTCACTGCTCTCTGTTGCCTCTGCAGCCCGCTTCGTCGACTTCGTCACAGCCAGCCTTTTCTTCGACGCAGAAGGGGACCTTGGCCTCGGACCAGGAGGAGGGGAACCCGGTTCGCTAAGTGAGACGTCGCCTAAAACGGACGACGGCCTCTTTCCCACAGGCTCGACAGGTCGGCCAGCAATGCCGAGCTGCGCAGCGGAGTCGGCCTTTGTCTTCGACAGCAACCCAGCAGCGACGGCGACCTGGCTGGGAGCACCCCGTTTCTCCCCCGCTCCTTTCCCCGCAGCGCCGCCGGACGGGGTAGGGGCACCTCGCTTTTCCACGGCTCCTTTCCCGGCTGAGGCGACCTGGCCGATTGGGGCACCACTTTTCTCCCCCGCAACCACTCCTTTCCCACCCTTTTTCCCGAGGCCCTGCAGCATGTCCCGCAGCGGAGCAAAAGCATCAGGCGGAGGCTTCGGTGCCGCTTCAGAGGTCTGCTGATGGGGCGATCGGTCGAGTACGATGACATCCTTGTCCTCGACGGACTTGCCGACGGTCTGACGGGCACGCGACGGTGGGGATGCTACCGGGCTGCCGACATGTCCTCCCACCGAAGAAGAAGGAGGAACCGAGCGCTCATGAACTCGACGCTCAACCCCGCTGCGAACACCAGCCACCCCCTCCTCTTGACGCGACCTCGTCGACGGGCCCGCCGAGCCCCGAAACCCTCTCGCCATCGCTTCGGTGAGGACTTCCAATCTGCCAGCTTCAGCTTCTTGGTAGCTTTCTCTCACAACGTCCTTCAGCTCCTTCATGCTCTCGGGCGGGAGGGTGGAGTAGAACAAGTCCTCCTTGACGGCTTTCTCAATACCCTTCACGACCGAAGCAACCAGCCGCTCCTCGACAAGCTTGAGCTGCTTCTCGACGGCGTCCTCGCTCGCTTTTGTGATAGCGGCTGCCACCCCCTCGATGATTTTCCCGCTCATCTCGTCGAGCTTCGAGCGTGCCCCTTCCAACAGCTTCCTCTCCTCCGTGACACCGTTTACGGCATCGCCGCACTGCTTCAGCGTGCTCTTCGACGACTCCGAAATCATATTCCAGGCCGTCCGAAAATCCCCAGCAAGCTTGTTGAAAACAACGGCTTGCTCACTGTGCTTCGCAAATACGTCGGCGACGAGCTTCTTCTGCGACGCCTCGACCTCAGCGACCCTCTGCAGTAGCTCGACGACCTGGCCCTCGAAGGTTCGCCTGTCCGCTGCCACTGGCCGTGCGGTGTCTCTTTACTGCGACGAGTCGCTCCTGCGCAGCCTCCCCGCCCTCCTGCTCCTGCCCTCCCGCTCCACCCTCCTGCGCAGCCACCACGCCCTCCTGCTGCTGCCCTCCGACCTCACCCTCCTGCGCAGCCGCCCCGCCCTCCTGCTGCTGCACTCCTGCCCCAAAATCCTGCCCAGCCGCTCCGTCCTCCTGCTCTTCGACATCCCAATCGTCCCCCGTCGACTGCTGCTCGTCCACCCGCTCCCCGAGCGCCACTCCGCGCTTCTCCGTACGCTCCGTCCAACCTGGATATAACCCTAAACCCTCGCCGTCGTGCTCGATCGACTCATCGCTCGAGCTCGAGCCGGAGCTCGATTCCGAGCTCGAGCCCTCCTGCTCGTCCGCATTGCCGCCCGGGCCGCTCACCCTGTGCTGAGCTTGTCTCGATGTATCCTCCTCGATCTCCTCCTCCTCCTCGTAGCTGTACTCAACCACGACGCGTGGCGCCCCCTCGCCTCCTCCCTCGTGTCCGGCACCCCCTCCCACTCCTACTCCCTCCGCCGCCTCGTCCATCCTTTTCCAAAACAGTTTGAGCATGAACGACGGAAGCAAACCCGGGCCAGGGCTCGTTCTCCCGAGCATCACTAGGTCGCCCTGTCGAGGCTGCAGGATGAAATTGTCCCAGTTCGACAGAATCCGGCGCACCCCATGCACGACACGAGCTGCCGCGCCGGGTTCACTGGGGCTCGTCAGGGCCGTCGTCGTCTGCGACGGGTATAAAACACACGTAAGCGACAGAATAAACATGCTCGACGAAAACATGCACGGGTAAGGGTAAGGGTTGGCTTACCAGATGATCGAAACTCGTGATCATGTCCAGACGCAGGTCGATGAGGCTAAGCACCTCCTGCTCGTGCTCGGTCACAACCCGCAGGGTCGTCGCGTACTCGGCGCGAAGCTGCTTCTTCATCCAACTGCAAAGCAACGGACAGGAGAGTAAGAGATTGTCGAGAACGGCAAGTCGACAGCAGGGTGGCAAATCGGTCACTCACACGAGAACTTCATGCGCCAGCGAACATTGGTGGTTCACCAAGGGAAACCTGTCTTTCGAATCGAAGTGCATCATTCGAGTTCGACAGCCATGGTGCCTCGGAGCCAGCAGATCGTCGGGGCGCGATACCACAAACAGGCTCGAGTGGGAGAACGGCGCCACAGTCAGGCTGCATGCAGAGCGAATGCACGTGAGCACAGGTTTAGTACTAAACACGGAGCACGCAAGGCGACGGGAATAGTGTCGAACTCACGTGGTCCGCAGCAGAACGAGAATCACTTGCTTGCCGAGCAGGCCGTCGAGGTGGTTGTTCGCAAAAGCGACCGGTGTGGGACGCGCCATTTCTTCATGCGCACGCGTCGAAGTCACGATCGACAGCTTGGCGAGCTGCTCGACGGACAGCAGCTCCCTCGAAAACAGGCTGCACGGAAAGCTAAGGCACAGTCAGCGACAGGTAAACATGGCAAACCTAAAGTGCTCGACAGGAACGTACACAACGCCCGCGTTCATCATCGTCTCGTCGAGCTCCGCCTTCGGCGCCTCGCTAAGCGCATTCAACTGGTCTTCGAACACCTCCACATCGATCCCGCCTGCGGTTAGGATGAGGCCGCGTCGAACCGTCGGCTCGTTCACGACGGGTAGGGAGGCGGGGCCCGTAGCCATGACAGGCCTAGCAGTAGGGAGGGCGGGAGCGCAGGGAAGTTGGGAACTAGGGAGTGGGGAAGAAAAACTCGGAGACTGCAACGAAATGAGAACGCACTCAGGTTATTTGTTGTTTGCCATCCCCTCCACAGAGACAGACTGTGGGGGCAAGGGTGACGGCGGTAGGAGGAGCTTATGGCAGAGGGCGGCGGGGCCCTGTATTACTGGTTGCTTGCATGAGGGTTGCTTGCATGAGGTGGGGCGCCCTGCATGCAGCTGAAAGGCCCCTCTCAAGGAGCGGGAGGGGGCGTTCGACACATCACCACGGTCGAGCACCAACCGAAACGGGCCCCGTCGAGGGCGAGAGCGGTGGAGCGCGGCGCAGATGGGCGTCGCTTCCGTCTGCTCGCGAGAATTCGCGGACGGGTTCCGTCGGCGAGGCGACGCCCGGCGAGGGTTCCCTTGGGTTACCGGACGGAACCCGTCTACGAAGCGAGGGTGGGGTTCGGTTCGGTTGGGGGGGGGACCGCTGCCAGCTGGCGCCAGCTGGGGGGGCCCGTTTTCGGGCGGGCGGGGGGGTCGGCTCCCGCCCCTCGCGTGCGCCGCTAGGCGACTGCAGGAAAAACGAAATCCCTCCGGGGAAATCCCGCAGGGGCAAAGGCGGGTTCCCGAAGGAATTCGCCTGATATCTTCCCTTCAAATCTATATTGAAGCTAACACCCGTGTATGGAAAAAAATGTTACCACATTACAGGCCCACACCCGCGTTCCAACCCCCCCCCCCCCCCCACCCCCCCCCCCCCCCCCCCCCCCCCCCCCCGCTTCAAAGTCACCTTCGGTATGCATTTGAAAGGGGATTTCAAAATCCTTCAAATGTATATTGAAGCTTTAAAACACCCGTGTAGGGAAAAAATGGTTACCAAATTACAGGCCCACACCCACGTTCCAACCCCCCTCACAACTTGTCGCACACTTTCAAACGTATTGATTTGCAAAATGAGACACATTGTAAAGCTGAGAGGTATTGGAGAAACCGAAAGGTTCAAGTAGGTGTAACCTTACCGCACCTGCTACTAGCGAAGCAACACCAGTACCACTGTTGGAAACAAGTGATTTCTAACGCTTCTGTCATATTGAAGCTTTGACACAAAACGGAACTGACTACAGCGAAGTAGTACTCGAGTCAACCTTCGGAGGTTGCGCGAAGGTCAAAGGTCTCCGACCTTTGACCTGACGAAACATACAGTGCGACAGCAAGGACACATAACTGACTCGTTACAGAGCAATTACCCGAGTCGGCACTGTATCGAACCGCAACAGCAAAAACAGTTAAAATAGAACTTTCAATATTCCTTTGTAATCATATAAAAGCCTTGTACTTCTCTACAGTTATCAACTTATCTTGTTCTCACACACTAGTACAAGGTGGTTCACGACAACTCTTTATTAAACGCTTCCGCTGTTACAACTCTACGTCAACACCTAATCTTAGTCCTGAAAGTACCTAAGGGCTTTTCTCAGCCCAACATGGTATGAGAGCAAGGCAGGATAAGATTATCTTTTAACCTTTTATAATACAAGTCATGGCTATACGAAAGGAGAGGAGCTCCTCCAACGGATCACTCGGTACTACTCCTACTCCACCTCCAACTTCTGGCCTACAGACAGAAGAAGGCATAGCTACAAGACCAGCTGCGGAATCAACGGAAACTCCCGGAAACCAAGCAACAAGCTTCGACCCAAGTATGATGGAGAAATTTGTCTCCTTCATGTCCTTCTACGAGCAACACCAGCAAGCAGCTCCTGCGCAATCAAACAACAGCGACAACAACAACAGAGCAACACCAATGAGTCTTGATGGTTCATCGTACGCGCGCGCAAATCAACAACAACCTACCTTTGCTCCGTATGAGCCTCAACGCGGCTCTGCCAGTTTCGCGCCGCAGCCGCAGTCTTCACCTGGACAAGAGAAGACACTGGACGCACTTCAGGTGCAATCGCAATTCGCACACGTTCTCAAATTGCAAACATCAACGCTTTTCGACGGGAAGGATTTTCATACCTGGTCCTTTGAATTCGAGTTGATGATGGAAGGCGCGCAAATCCTCGGATTCTTCGACGGGTCCCTGCCATATCCAGTACATGGGACATAGTACGACAAGCAGCAATATACATATCAGTCGCTGATGGCGTATACGATACTTCTTCGAAACTTGACGCCAAACGAGCAACAGAACATTCGATCTTATCGAGGATACGGCAACTCCGCCGAGTTGGCATACCACCATCTGAAGAGCCTGTATCAAGCAACAGACAGCGTTAACCAAAGTCGTCTCATGGCACAATTGACAACAGTGGAAATGAAACCCGGCAAAAAGAGAATGGCTTATATTAGCCGTTGTCGCGGACTGCGCGACAGACTCCTTCGGTGAGGAGGGTCAATTTCGGAAGAAGCATTTGTAACAGTCATCATCGCCGGCCTTGGTCCTCATTGGCGCTCCACTCAAGCACTTCTTCGAGCTCACGGGAAAATCTCCGAAGCAGCACTCTGCGCCGAAATCCACGCTGAACAGCAAGACATGGACCTGCACGAAGAACGACATAAGAAGAAAGCATTAGCACCGGAGTTTGCCTTTCATACTCAACGACGCTACAACAACAACAACCGACACAACAACAGACAAGTATAACAATATGTCCCACCGTTTTGTCACCTTTGCAAGACGTCCGGCCATCCGCGTACACACTGCCCGAATCAGCAGCAGTCGACAACACCGCAACGTCAACTTCGGCCGTCAAGCAGTCAAGTAGCCTCTACGGAAGTGCAGCCTTCAACATCTTCATCGCAATCTGCACAAGGAACAAGAAACATCATCAGCTGCATGACAAGGATAAGGGATTCCTGCATCACCAGATCACCACCCTACTACTCACCAGAAGACCAACTCGATGAAAAGACTCCCCGCCGCCACTCATTGGAGCCGAATCCAACGTATGCAGCTATCGCCCAAAGCGAGCCGTCTGGGCAAGACACCTGGTTCTTGGACAGTTGCTGCGGACAACATATGTGTTCCTCGAGCCGTTTTGTCCAACAAGAGCATCAACTTCAGCGCGAAGTCGTCATCACAGTGGCCAACAACCAGAACCTGCACACACGACGACAAGGCGTAGTACAACTTCAATCCCGAGAGACTAACGTCATCTTGCAAATGTCCAAAGTGTTGATTGCAGAAGGAATTGGCTACAACTTACTGAGCGTCAGCCAACTGATGGCGAAGGGGATCCATCTTGAAGCAGACAGTACCACACAGGAGTTCAAGCTTTTCCACGGTCGAGGAGGGCTCTACATCGGCAAAGCAGTCTTGAAAAATAACGTGTTCGTCCTCGACTTTGTACCAGATCAAGGAACGGCCGATAGCGACGGCATCGTCAACTTCGCCTCCTAGACGCATCCACCGGACCTCGATCCTGACTTCAGCCCCGGAGGGTTCTGGTACTCACATACCATCCCTGAAGCAGAAAGAACGCGGGCATTAGCAAAAATCCGACAAGAAGCGACAACATCGACAGCAGCAGAGACAACATCGGCAACACCAACAACACTTACAACCCCAATCGCAAGCTCTTCGACGGCACCAACACTCATCGACAACACTCCACCGACTCCTGCGCAGCAGCTAACTCCCACTCCACGTGAAGTACACAGAAGCGCAAACTTCTCCGCGGGTTTTTACTCCAACTCCGACCTGTATAGGCGCTCACCCGGACATCGTGCAAGTGAGTCCCTGTGGCACGAACGACTAGGACATCCAAGCAACACCACGTTAAACAACACAATCAAGGCAGCAGTGCTCGACAAAGACTCACTCCTTCTACCCGATGGCAGAGAACTCCAACGAGTCCGC